GGGGGGGGGGGTTGTATACTGCTGTGGATGCCACCTCATCAAGATACTGCGTGTCATTTGTCCGGGTACACATGCAGGCGGGGACGCATCTGTCTCTCTTACAGGAGTACTGCTGTAGATCAGTTGGGTCTCGATCGATACAGTTCAGTCAAACTCGGAAGCGTTCTCTTCAGAAATCCGTGCACAACAATCAATGCCATCCCCGACTCTTGACGTGGCGACGCGAGTTGCGGGCGGTGGGGTTGCCTGTGCCGGTTCAAGGGTACAGTACCATGTATAAGAGGTTCCTTGTAGACGGTAAAGGCAGGAGGAAGGGTTATGGTCTACTGTAGACTGTCACAACAAACATCTTAACATCAAAAATATTTGGTTTGGGGGGAGGTGTCTCTGAGGTGGAAGCAGCAAGCCGCGGGTACAGAGCGAGCGAGGAGACGCTATCAAGCTGTCGACACACGGGTGGGTGGGCCGGGTTAGAAAGAGGCGAGGCCGTCCATCTCTTGAGTGTTTCTAGCACGCCCCCTGCGCATGCACGCACCACGCGCGGCATTTTTTGCCCATCAAAACTGAGTTGTGGCATGCAGAAACACGATCAGTTGAGAGAGGTTGGCAACAAGGAGCGTTGTCGAACTGAGCGAGCATCCTTTTGGCATGTCAAAAAAGCAACTGCCAAAAGCAAATGATTCTGTTTCAGAGGTGTACCCATTATACGTTTGCCACGTCAACAAAAACGGCTGAAACGGAGGAAGCGCGCGGGGCGTTGCACCATTGCAGAGCACTTGCCTTGCCTGTTGTTTACGTCTGAAACGCTACATTAACTGAGGAGTGTCGCTTGGTGCACAGGGCCTCTATCATTCTGCACATGGGGACCCCGCTGTGTCGACAGAGAGAAAGCAATTTTACTCACATCCGCCACGGGTGGGTGTGTGTGGCGAAACTGCTGTTGGTCGTCTCCCACCCCCTCCAAACTCTCGCTCTCGACTGCTTCGCTACCCGCACACAATACGCGAAAACACCAACAACTGAGGGCTTGTTCGCAACCCCTCCATCAACCCACGCTCCCACAAGAGCGCAACAGCGATAGGCAAGCCATCCGTGAAGAACTCAAAAAACTTACCTACGAGCAAAACTCCCGATACAAACAACGCACATGAATACGCTACGCATAAGAAGAAACAATCAACACCCGGTACCTTGGACCTCCCCCCACCCCCTTTGAGATCATCAGGCGCCTTTTTCTCTCGTTGTCTACTACACTGCTAACGACATACCCAGCAACATCGACGATAATTATTATCACGACCCCCCCCCCCCCCCCCCCCCCCCCCCCCCCCCCCCCCCCCCCCCCCCCCCCCCNNNCCCCCCCCCCCCCCCCGTCCCCTCTCCCTCGTCAGGCTGGCGCCATGATGCCCCTCGTCAGGCTGGCGCCAGTATGCCCCTCCCCAATTCCGTCCCATCCCGATCCGTGCAAAAACACGCCCGCCTTTCGAATGATAAATCGTGTGAGAGAAGAAACGGCAACTGCTGCCTGTGTGTACGTGCAAGGGGGAGACGCGGGGTTCCAGCGCCGCAAACTTCTCCAAAAAGAAGCAACCCCTTCCCCCCCTGCCCTGCCCTGCCCTGCCCTGCCCTCCCCCCCCTCGCCGGCTTGTCGCGTGTCGAGGCCAGGCTATCAATCCATTCAGGTTCAGGTTCAGGTTCCGGTTCAGGCGTCCCACTCTTCTTGTGTGACCTCGTCGCTGTAAGTGCTCAATCCTGGCTCGAGACTCACGGCCTTCATCTGGTCCTCCGCCAATCTGCAGACGTACCAGTAACAAAAAAAACACACACAAACAGGCCCCGCGAAAATGGCGTTTGGTTGGGTTGGATTTGACGTGAACACTACTGTTGTCAGCGTCACAAAGTGCGGAGCGCGACAAGAGACGTGCCGGGTGTGTTGGGTTGTCGGGTGGTCAAGCCAACAAAAGATCGTTGTGTTGAAAAAAAACAACAACGAAATTGAATAGCAAAGCACACGGCGGAACGCCGGAGAGAAACGATCGGGAACTACCCGTGTGCGTGGGCGCGTACACGCATTCATGCGTGCACGGGACGAGCGAGCACGCATCATAGCAGTAGGACAAGACGAAAGATAGAAAGAGGAGCAATCACCACCCACAGTTCCCCCGTAATCGAATACGAAGCCACCACCGGTCCATTCATAAACCCTGGTCACATCTCACCATCGATCAGCAAAAGCACAGCCTACGGCATCAACGCGCACCATCATCAACAATTTCCATCAGTGGACACTACTGAACACACCGGAGAGAGAGAGAGAAAGAGAGAGTCCAGACGCCACATCACACCATCCTACCTGACCCCATCTGCCTCAGCCTCCGCGGCGAGCACTCTGGCAGCCTCAGCCTCCTCCGCAGCTAGCCGGGAAGCTTCCGCCGCCTTTGCCGCCGCCTTTGCCGCCTCTTGCTGCTGCTGTGCATCTGCGGCCGCCTTTGCCGCTTCTGCTTCTTGGGCGGCTTGCTGTGCCGCTCCCGTCGCTGCCGCCGACGCCGCTGCCTCATCTTCCGCTGCCTTGTTCTCGTCCGCGAAAGCCGCAGAGGCCTGGCGGGATGCAAGTTTGTATGGGCGGCACGTATCGATATACGGAACACAGCATTGACCGCAATAGCAATCAAGACTACGCGCAAAAACACAAAGGAAGTGAGAGCAAAACGACGTCGGGCACATCCAACAACAGTAGAGAGAGAGAGAGAGAGGGAGAGAGACAAGACAGACAGAGAGAGAGAGCACATCCAAATGGAGGAGACGCAAAAACACGCCACGGCCTTGTACTGTAACGCAAGAAAAAGAGATGAACGAGACCACCTGATGCGAGCACACACTCAAGCCATCTTCACTCAACACGAACAAAAATTTTCCTTTTGAACAACAACAAAAAGAGGTACATGTACCAGGTTTTTGTACCACGCCAGCTTTTCTACCAACAAAACGAAACCAAGAAAAAAAAAAAAATGTGCAAATGTGTTCACGATAGCATCGCCTAGCATCCACATCTTAGCGTCGTTAACATACCAGCAGTCCTTCGTACAACAACAAAAAAATACTGTCGAGTCAAACCTGCTTGGCTTGCTGCTCCGCTTTCCACGCCTGGATCCTCCTCTGCGTCTCCTCGTCCGCCTTCTTTTGAGCGATTTTCGCGGCCGACTCTGCTGCTGCTCCTGCCGGTGGCGGCTTGGACTGTCCGAAGGTCGACCATCCCCCCGAAGAGAAGGGCTTGGGAGAGGTGGCCGACCGGAGTCCCGTGGGAGACATGAGCGGCTTGGGCGCCTGCGTGCGTGTGTGCATTTGGTTGTGTGGGTGTGTGTGTGATTCTTTCACGAACGTACTTCTAGCATCGTCCGCGCTGACTTGGCTGGGACCAAAAAAAGAGTGGGTTGGTCTTTTACACAGCAGTACAAGCTAATGTGAAGTCAACAACAACAACAACAAGCGGGACAAAAAAAAAAAGAGGAGACGCCGACACGCACTTGTGGGGATAATGTCATGTGCTGTTGTTTTTTTCATTTGCTGCCACCAACGGAATCGGCCACGCCAACGCTTTGTGGTCGGCTCTTCAATGAGATGACGGCACTCTCCACCGGCAAATAGACGGGAAAAGATTCCTAGTTTGGCCTCTGTTTACCGGTGAATCCGTGCAAGTGTGCGGGTGCCGGAAGGTGGGGCACGACACGTGTGGGTCAGCGAAGACCGCAGTGGGGTGGCCTCTCTTCGTGCAATAATCGCTGTGCTGGTGCTGCTGTTTTGTTGGCGGTTGTCTGGGTGTGGATGAACACCTTTCGCCAGGGAAACTGGGCTTTCAATGTTGACAAGTTGTACGCAAGATTAAATCTCCGCGACGCATCCAACACACCCCAGCCAGACAAAAACCAACACACGCGAAAAAAAAATTGCCACAGACGCCAACCGCAACCCCCCAAAAAGAAACGCCCAGCATTGACACCAAAACACACAACACACCTGAGGGGTTTGTTCTAACGCGGCCGGCGCCGGCATGGCCCCTGCCCCCACCCCGTCCGGCGACGCCGTGCGCTCGTTCTCGCAGTGCCACAGGCTCGCGCAAAAGAGCATGATCATCCTCGACATGACCTGCACGATGTCTTCCGCCGCCACGAACACGCACGCGCCCAGCTTGCGCGCCACGCTGATGGCGTACTTGGCGTTATTGGTCTTGTCCTCGTCGTTCGCGGGGTCCATCACGACAAGGTCCCAGTTCACGGTCGACTGGTCGATGCCGTGGCACACCTGTTTCGATTCGTTGCATTCGGGTTCGGGTGTCATGGTGGGACGTAGATACATACATGGCAAAAAATATGTTTTTATCGAAATGAATCCAGTCCACCTTGGAACCACAAGAAAATAATCGCAGAACGGGGGCAACCGCGGCCAGACTCTGCTGAAGCCACAAGTGTTTCTCTTCAAACAAAATGAGGGTGAGCCCCGAGCGCCTCTATCCAGTCCGCCTCCGAGCAAAAAAGAACGACCGCCACAATACTGGCAGAACCACTGTAATCCATCACCAATGTCACCACCCTCACGCTCCCGCTCCCGACCGTGACCACCATCACCCGTCCTCCGCCCAGGCCACATACTGTTACCAACACCACCACCACCCAGCATCGTGCCGCTTCCTCTTTTCTTTTCTTTTCTTTTCTTTTCTTTTCTTTTCTTTTCTTTTCTTTTCTTTTCTTTAATTTCTTTGATTTCTTTTCTTTGATTTCTTTTCTTCTCTTTCATTTCTTTTCTTTCATTTCTGTTCTTTCTTTCTTTTCTTGCCTTGAGCAAGAAAACACCCGTAGACAGCGAGGGGTCCCCGAAGCTGCGAATCTTGGACCCTTCGACCTTGGAGTTGGCCCACGCCACGATCTGCGGGTCCTCTATCCTCTTCCCCTTCTTGGAGAGAGCCTGTTGTAATGGTGGGATGTTTCATGTGTTACGTTTGATGCCGCCATGTACGCAGCAATCATCATCCCATGTATCCCATCACGTGATACAAAACAAAACACTGTCATCGGAAGCGTGGTCGAGACACCAACGGACACAAGATGGCACAACCACTGCTGCTTGACGGCCACGCACACGACAAACGAGATAGAGGTCTACAATCAACACGAGGTGCCGCTGAACAGCTACAGCTGCCGTAGAAGTAGCTGTGGGCACAGGGGATAGATATCTGGGCCCATCTACCAAATGTAACCGGCGTACCGGGCGAGGCGTTGTTCTAACCACGATCGAATGTGTAAATTTTAGTAGCGAGCAGCGATCCAAGTCGATGGTGATACATCACGGAAAAGGTTGAGGTGAATCCTGCCGAATTGAAAAAAAAACAAAGAACAGAAACTAGCAACAACACAGAACGAAAGCAGGAAGGAAACTAGGTACATATTTCTCTGTCTGCCCCTCTCTCTCTCTCTCTCTCTCTCTACAGCACCTCCATCTCTCGCCTGAAGAAGGTTGAGGGTGTGCCGGCGCATGAGCTGCCACATAATGGCCAGCGTCATCTTGCGGTTGCCATCGATGATGTCCAACCCCCCCACGTTCACCACCGTAAGCCCCATCACCTGAAAGTGAAATCAATCAACACAACATCATAATCGATCGAGCATCAATTGGTAAGGATGCGATACGACCGTGAACACGGTTGCGTTGTAGGACCAAGAAATCCTCCTGGAAGAAGGAAGGCATGAATGTGAATGTCTCAGAAAAGGAAAAAAAAGAAAAAAAAGAAAAAAAAAGAAAAAAAAACTTCGCCCTCGCATTCTCCCGCCAGGACGAAAGACAAGGCAACAGCAAGGACATCAACGCCTGCACCCGTTTCTGCCACCATCATTACCAACGGCAGCAACCACCACGACCACCACCAACAACAACAACAACAACGACAACAACGACGACGACAACAACAACAACAACAACAACAACGACAGCAACAAGCATGAGCTCTCCCGACAGACCCTCACGAAGAAAGGTAAAGGTGGTACGGCAAAAAAAAAAAAGTGTAGTACCTTGGCGATGTCGATGACGTAGTTCCCGTTCTCCACCTTCTTGAAGCGATTCTTCGGAGCGATGTTGACGCGCTTCCACACGACGACCCCGGGCTGAATGCGGTCCATCACCTGTACAGTACATCCATCGATCGATCGCACCAACGTACGCGTAGGGCACACGATTCAGTGAGCGAGAGACAAAATATTTGGGGGAGGGGGGGGGGGGGGGGGGGG